TTTGCCGCTTGCGGCGGCAGAAAAGCTGGAGCCGGCCCTGCCTCTGGCTGAGACAGCACGGTGGAGGGCAAGAGCTGAATGGCTGCAGGCATGGGTCTCCCTAGCACCGCTAGCAGCAGTGGTCCAGGGAGCTGCTTGGCAGCAAAGATAGCGAGCAGCCAGTGGGGGGTCTTGTTCCCCAGGTGGCTAAAGTCCTAGGGCAGGTAATGATGTGATCTTAACTGGTACAGTGATGCTCACCCAAAGCACTTCCCAAGCTGTCATGCACAGGGATCTCTTAGCTCAGCCAGCCTTCAGGATAACAACTTGACACAGCTGCATAAGGCAGGAAGGGAGGGAAATTTCTGTGTCTAATTGAAGGCACAGGGGAGCTTTGGCTAGCAGAATGCAATGACCTATGTTATAATGTCGACAGGGCTGTGACTGCCCCATCTCCTGTAGGGAAAGAAGCCAAAGGATCTGGCATGACTGCAATGTTGTGCCACACCCGAAGGGTCAGTGCTATCCCCGTGTGTTGTCTATCTCTCTCAGGCTCGCCCCACAGCCTTGCAAAGGGATCTAGAAGAATCTACTCTAGGTTTTTCTATCGCACCCTTCACTCTGGTATCAAAGTGCACCGTGATGCACTTTGCTCTATCTCTGCTGAGTCTGAACAAACTGCCTGTCCCTCTCAGGCCATGTCTCAGCCAGGGTGGCTTTCTCGGAGCCTGCCTTCTCTCCACCAGGCCCCCGCACCTCTTTGGGGTGAACAGCAGCCCCTTGAAACATCTGATCCTGAGCTGCTGACACAATGATCCTTCTGGATGCATTTGCCTTGCTAAATCAGGATCTGTGCGTTGTCTGCTTGCACTAATGAAAACACCAGGGAGTGCAGGTACGGAGAGGACTCCTCTAGAAAGGAATCCCATTGAAAGCCGTGTGCCTGTCCAATAGATCTTCTCGACCTCTGCACTGAATGCAGGAACTGCTCCCATGCAGGGCTCCTCTAGAAAGGCTAGTTCCCTGACTTTGCACGGCCCTGTGGGGCATCCATGTTCTCTCGCTGCTGGAGACACGGCCGAACAGTCTCCCGTGTGTAGCGTTCCTGCTGGGACCCTTCTCTTGGGAGGGGCCAGTAACTGATCTAGCAGCTGCGTGCCTGTCCTCTTGGTCCAGGCAGTTGTCTTGGAGGGCAGAGGCCTTTCCTGGTGTCTGTATTTGTGTTTCAAAGGGTGTGTGTGTGGGAGGGAGAGAGAGAGATGTGGGCACTCGAGACTGGCATTGGAGTTGGGATCAATGAAAAGCTGGACAGGGAATAGGACGCAGTGACTTCTAAAAAAAGAATGGAGCTGGGGGTGGTGGTGAACTTCTCTCTGGTTGCAAGGCCATTGACCCCGGCGCTTGCGGGAAAGTGGAGAGGCGCTAATGTGTAGGTTCTTTGCCATCCAGAACTACAGTGTGTGCGAGGTCCAGGTCAGCGGTTCTGATCTGGCCCAGGTCAGATGCTGCTATTACCTTACGTGTGTGTGTGTGTGTGTGAAATGAGTTGGTGGGTCTCTGTCCCATTGTTAGGCAGCATTTCAAAGGCTTAGTGTTGGGCGGGGCACAAGCACAGGGAGATGATAAAGAATTGTTTCTACCTGAGGCTCTCGGTGTGCTGCATGCGCACTTGTTAATTCACCCTTGACTCTCCTGTGATGTAGATAGAATATTCTCCTCCCCATTTTACAGATGGAGAAACTGAATCATGGAGGGTTTCCCTCCCCCACCATGAAATTTCCAAGTATTCACTAGTTCTGGCTATGTCCATTCACCTAGAACCTGTTTATTGGAGATGCTGAGCACCCACGTGGCCGCGCTGGTGGGATCTGTGGGCACATGGCACATCAGAAACAGGCCGCTTGAGTCCCGGCTCTTTGGCTGCCTCACTTATTGAAGGCTCTTGCCAGTATAGGCCTTGATCACTCCCCAAAGCCACGCAGCATGTCAGTGTTGAAGCTGGAAACAATCCAGGTGTCCTTCAATTTCAGTGTCTAACCACTAACCCCAGGAGGCTGGGGGTAGCCCCGAATGGCCGGTCCTTAGCAGTCTGATTGGTGATGAATTTGGGTCTCCGTGTCTTAACTCTCCTGACCTCTCAAGCAAGAAACCCAGGGTTGGGCCCTCTCAAGATATTGGGAGTGTGGGGTGGCAGGCTCTCGGGGGTAGGAGGAACGGGATGGCACAAAACTGCCCAGCAGGGAGGTGGGATCCAGGGTCCAGGTTTGAAGAGAGGTCCTTAGAAATCCAGTGTTGTCCTGCGTTTCCAATAGCGGGCACCTCCACCAAGCACAGACAGGAGCCAGAGGTCCCGTTAGATGCAGTGAGGCTGTTGTTGCATGTTAACCCTTTTGATGCTAGACGTAAACGCTGCCTGTCTTAAATCAGTGAGGATCATCTGCATCCAGCAGCAGAGAAGCAGTCGGGGAATGATTTATTTAAAAAAAAAAAAAGAGTGGGGTTGGGGGATGGTGCTTGCTGGCCGGGGAGTAACGCATTGATCTTTTCACTGGAACCAGGAGTTCAAATCCCTGCTCAGGTCACAGCTGATAATGAGGTTGATGAGCTCTGAGTCTCGTCCCTGTTGTTCACATCACTAACGCCCGAGCAGCTGAGTGCAGAGGGCGGCGTGTGCTTGCACAGGTCTAATAACAGGAGTAGCTGGGCTTGCTGTGGGTCAGGCTGTCACTGTGTCGGCAGAGCCCCACTGGGGAGCATCGCGTGCTGGCTGGATGAAGTCAGTGGTGTTCGCTCCACAGCTTTGTGGGCATTAAACACCTGCATCTTCCCTGGGATTCCAAATGAAGGGGGGTGGGGGGCGGGAATCGGACTGGCTCCTGAAGGCAGCTGGTGTAACTGCCCGGGCATCCTGAGCCAGTGGTTATCCAAGGTACCGAACTGTCTCTCAGAATCATTCATGCCCTCAGGAGGCTGAAGGGACTGGATGGCTAGTACAGTGGGTGCGCTGGCCGAGCTATCATCAGGCTTCTTCAGACCTCTCACCCCCCAAAACTGCAGATGCACTGGTGATAACGTAGCATAAGCCTTGTGTGTGTGTGGGGGGGGGTTTCTCAGTTACCACCATATGGCCCAACTCTGCTCAGAGCACAGCTAGACGACGGAGCAGTGTAAACGCCCGAGCCTTCTCCACACTCTGGCTACTGGTCATGGGAATTATGGGTTTGAAAAAATCCTAGAGTATAAAACCGTCCTGATTTTTCCCCCCTCTGGCCCAGCCCCCGCCTTACTTTAGATGGACACTGGTGTAATTCTGCTGGGCTCCTGATTGCACGGGAGTTGCATTGACACAGAAGCGGAGAAAGGCCTGGGTCACTATTGCCTGAGTTCTGTAGTTCTCACTCCCATTCGCTCAGACATTGGGGGATTGAGACTTTCCAGGCTTTTCCTTAGCCCATCAGTGAATTTCTCTCCTTGGAAGCTTGAGTAAAACCGGCTCAGCTTTTTGGCGTTATTTTTTGTTCTGTATGGAGCCCCATATCCACGCTCAGTTGTGTCCCAACACCCGTAAAGCCCTGCCTCTTCTGACGGGTCATTGACGTGGGGGGAGGAAGGGTTCATCCCCTTTACTGAATGTGCAACATGTGGTTTGGAGGGTAGTCTCCAGACAATCCATGTCCTAATGGGACTGAAACATGGCTGTGAGGTGGCAGCCAGAATGTTGCAGATGAAATTTCCATGGGGGTGTATTTGGTGGGACCCTGACTGCACCATACCAGAAGGCAGACAGCAGGACAAATTCTGCTCTGTTGCATCCACTACATGTCCACTGATTTCAGTGAAGTGACTCTGGATTTATACCGTTCTGCGAGGTGGTTATTAAAGTGCATAGCATACATGGGATGCAGTTAAATGGTCTCATTAAATCAAAATGAAACTTGGAGCTGGTGCAGCTTAGGTCCTGGGGGTTGGATTTTCAAAGGGGCTCCCATTCATACACGTGCTTCTTTTTGTGGGCTCTGTGCACGTGAATGGCACTTTACGTGGCCAGATCAATGGATTATGTGCCATCCTACCTGATCTGCATTAGTGCCTTGCATGTGAGTCTACTCACAAATTTTACCTGTGCATGTGTTGGAGGCCCATTGGAAAATTAACCCTTTAGTGTAAAAGACCTTTCTTGTGCAAAAGTAGGAGCTATCCCAGGTCTTCCGTAGCATTCCCAAGATGGGCCTCATAAGTTTCTCTCTAGTCTTACTCAGAGCCTGTAATATGTACATCCCGATTTTGTTCTGGTGTGTAGTACAGTTACATGGATGCAAGTGTTCTTCAGACCTTGCAGATCTTTGTCTTCCATAAAACGTAGTTCTTCTCCAAAAAGTGACTCTCTAAAAAATGCTGTTGTGGAACTTGTTTGTTTTCCGAGTGCATTTCATATCAAACACACTCAGTTCTCCAGTAAAGTACCAGTCCTGCAAACCTCCCTTTGACATCTGCGAGTCCAGCTGGGTTCATTGTGGCTCATGCATCATCACCTAGAATAAAAACTGCAGACCAAATGTTGGCCTCAGCAACACCTGGGCAACTCTGTTGTCTTTAGTGGGCCTGTACAGGTGAAACTGAGGGGTATAATACAATGGCACTGCACAGATGGCCATGAAATTAGAACTTGGTTAATGATTCACTGTGCAAGCCAGAAAAGTATCCAGTTCACTTTCTCCCAGCAGTGTTGGTTCAGTAAAGACAGGCTTTTATCACTCAGATTAGCAGCTCAGCCTCTGAATACACAGGGAGCAGACCTGCTCAGTTAGAAGGTGCTGTTTCATCTAGACCTGTTTCAGAGTAGAGGGCACATAAATGAACGAATTCTTATAGAACTGAATACAGTGCTCAAGCCACTAAGACCACCAGTGAGCTCTCGATGAAATGAGCGATGCTCATTTCGTGTCGCTCTGCAGCATACATGATTTTGATCATTTTTGAGAAGACACTTTGGATGATTTCTTTTACTCTCTCTCTCCCAGGTTCTGAACGGTGCCTGAACAGAAGTTAGAGCCAAGAGCTGCCCTCGGAGACAGGGTGAGTCTGTCCTTGTTGTTAGTGACCCTTTAGTCTCTGTTGTACATTCACGCTTTTAGAAGCAAGCAGGTTTTCCGTAGTGCGAAGGGATCCAAATCCTGATTGGCGCCTTATGGGTGCTACTGCAGTGTGAAGAAGAATAATGGGCCCTGATGGTAAATGACTAGATCTCCAAAACCCACAGGGAGGGAGTACTGGAAATAGAGGTGCAGAACGCTACGAGTCAAATGCAAAGCTCAGAAATGGTGGCTTTTTAGGGTTCTGTGTGTGCTTTTATTCACATTTAGCTATGAACTTGAAAATGGGCTGATTCCTGTGGATGAGGCTATTTTGAGGCTCTGCATTTAAAAACACACAGAAATTCAAACTATTTTTCTGTGTTTTCAGTGCGAAATTTTGCACAAAGTGAAATTTAGGAAGGCAAAATCGATGCAGATCAGCAAGAACGTGGCAGTAATTCTGTGAAATGAAACCTTGTCTTTGATTGTTGAGCTGCTTGGAATGTGGATTTCCTGATTTCAGGTCAGGCTGTGTAAGCATGGTTTAGCTCGACCTCTAGTTTTATGTTTATTCTAGGAATGCTGATTGTGCTCTGGGATTGGGAACGGAGCGAGGGAACAAATGTAGAAACCCGCTCTGTTAAATCACAGGGGTGCCTGAAATGTTCAACCTGTGGGTGATGAGGTGCTTGAGGCCGGTTGTTGGGTTATTATACCTCTTTGTGGATAGCTGCGCAGTTCCCCTTTCTGTTCAAGTGCAATGAATGTATTGTTCGGAGCAGAAATCCCAGCATCACCCAGGGACTCAGAGAGTGAATTTACACACAATGTGATCATTTTGGGAGGGCTTTCTATGCTGGTGGAACATGGTGAGGATGCTATTGCAACCCCATGTGATGAGATCCTGGGGAGATACAGGTGAGGTGAGATGGAGAGGGGATGGTATGTACCCAGTCATGTGCCATTCTCAGCCTGTGATTAAATTAGGGGCTTTGAACGCCTCTCTTCCACCCTCTAGAGAAAAAACTCTTCAGAATACTCATCCCTTCAAGTCTTTGGACAACATGCAGCCTTTGGTGGGTCCCCCACCAATCCAGTGCACCAATCCAATGCCAGCTTACAGCTTTCCCTGCCAATCCAGCCCGGCCTATATTGAGCTGAGGCAGTGTGCCTCTGCAGGGTGCAGCTGTGCCCCATGTGCAGCTCCCTCTCTCTGGAGCCTGAAGGCAGGGTTTGAACTGTGTGCTCCCGAGGTGCAGGACTGGTTCGCTGCACATGGGACCATAGACGCAGCGTTGTCAGAGCAAATTCCTACCAGCACATGACCCAGGCGGGAGAATCCATGTCTTTGAGGAGAGCTATAAGTGGGTCACTGTCATTGATTAAAGTGTAAAGCAAGCATGCCCCTCAGGGCTGTAGATTTCTCTCTCTCTGAGCCAAGGCAGCCTGTAAAGTTTTATGAGCAATTTCTGCTCAGTAATTCCAAGCAGCTCATCCTTCAGGAGGGCTGCGTGTGCATCTGTAAGAGTTCAGTACTGGTTGGCAGCTCTGTCTGCCACATGGGGCGCAATATGTCTGGCCTGTGCAGCAGGCACTTGTGACCGGGGCACGTGGAGGATATACCGAAGAGGTGGAGAATAGGAGAGACTAGAAGGAAATGTGCTGAGTCTCATTCAGTCCTTCTGTGTGTTAGGGAGGCGGCATGGCTCAGGGCCTGGGAATCAGAGGCTCTAGGTTCTATTCCCAGCTCTGACACGGATTTGCTATGTGGCCTGTATGTGCCTGTTTCCCTTTCTATCGATGTGGATCGTGCCTGCTCACCTCTGCTCTCAGGTCTCCAGATGAAGAGGCCTATGCTGAAAGGCCATGCTTTGAACTTGCGCAGGTTAGAGCTGAAAAGGGACAAGTGGTGTGTGATACAGGAGGTCAGACCAGATGATCACAATGGACCCTTCTGGCTTTGGAACCTGTGAATGGGGAGATCTGTGTGGTTGCCAGCAATAGGTGATGTGCCTCATCTGCCCTGGGTGAATTCTCTGGAAAGGTACTCGGAAGGGGCAGCTGGGTATAGAAAGAGAGACCCAGATGGACGGACGTGGTGGGGAGAGAGAACAGATGTACACTGGGACCTGTACCCCCAATTCGCGCTCTCACTCACTGATTTGGCTCCACGGGGATGGATCCCATGTGTAGATGGGTTTTCTTCTGCCACCGTGTGGGTCAGGTCTGCTCTGAGTGGGGTTAGGCCACATAGGGCTTCCAGAGCCATTGGCCCATCTGCACCAGGCTCCTGAAGGTGCTAACACTGGGGGAGCTGAGCCATTGCGGGCAAGAGAGGGACATTTCCCTAGTGTAGCTGTCTCTCTAGTGCTCTCTCTGGCTTCCTTTAATCCACTTCTCTCCTATACGCCAGGTATGACAAGCCCATGAGACTTGCTTATAACATACAGGAGTTGTAAGCCCCCTCCCCCATTCATGTGTGTGACTTTTTTCCCCGGCCCCTGTGTGTATGTGTCTTTCTTCCTCTCTCCCGCATCTGTCTCCTTCTCTGCTTCCGTGTTGTCTCATACCTGTTCTGCAATTCTGTGTCATTTCTTTTGGTGCATATTCATACATCCCCATGGCAAGTCCCAGAATGCACTGCACTCTTTCTCTTTCCTCCTTCCCCCCTCACACACTGCATAGCTGAGCATGTCTGAGCTTTGGGAAGGTTACAGGGGAGTTGCCCCCAGTAGAAGACTAGTAAAAATCAGCTGGAATGAAGAGAGACTTTGATCAGCTTTCTGGCTGACAAAAGAGAGCTGTGAGACTCTGATTCTTAACCCTGTCTTTCCCAGTAGACTTAGGAAACTGTCCAGGGCTGTATACAGCCTGCTTAATTTCCCCAGGGACTGCTGTAAGCAGGGCTGGCGCAACCCATTAGGCGACCTAGGCGGTCGCCTAGGGCCCTAACATTTGGGGGGCGGCGACCACGGCGGCGGGATTTTCCGCCGCCTCTGTTGGGGGTGGCATTTTGGGGGCGGGACCTTCCGCCGCCTCTCTCGGGGGCGGCATTTCGGGGGCGGGACCTTCCGCCACCTAGGGCGGCAAAAAAGCTGGCAGCGCTCCTGGCTGTAAGTGGAAATGTGATACATATTCCATGCCTCTTTTGCTTCAGTCTTCACTAAAATAGTGAATTGTGACCAGACACGTAACACAATAAATATTAACAACAAGGGGGAAGTAACAGAAGCCAAAACAGGGGAAGAACAGATTAAAGAACATTGAGATAAGTTAGATGTGTTCAGTTTGACAGGACTTGATGAAAGGCATCCTAGGGTAGGTAAGGAACTAGCTGAAGAAACCTTGGAACTGTTAATGATTATCTTTGAGAACTCCTGGAGGATGGGTGAGGTCCCAGAGGACTGGAGAAAGGGGAACATACCTATCTTTCAAAAGGGGAACAAAGAGGACCTGGGGATTTATAGACCAGTCAGCCTAACTTCAATACCTGGAAAGAGACTGGGACAAATGATTCAGCACTCAGTTTGTGAGCACCTAGAGGATACTAGGGTTATAAGGAATAGCCAGCATGGATTTGTCAGGAACAAATCGTGTCAAACAAACCCAATTTCCTTTTTTGACAGGGTTAATGGTCTAGTGCAGGGGTAGGCAACCTATGGCACATGTGTCGAAGGTGGCACGCAAGCTGATTTTCAGTGGCACTCACACTGCCCGGGTCCAGGGGACTCTGCATTTCAATTGAATTTTAAATGAAGCTTCTTTAACATTTTAAAAACCTTATTTACTTTACATACAACAATAGTTTAGTTATATATTATAGACTTCTAGAAAGAGACCTTTTAAAAATGTTAAAATGTATGACTGGCACACGAAACCTTAAATTAGAGTGAATAAATGAAGACTCGGCACACCACTTCTGAAAGGTTGCCGACCCCTGGCCTAGTGGATAGGGAGGAAGCAATAGACATGATATAGCTTGATTTTTACTAAGGGTTTTGACACAGTCCCACATGACATTTTCATAAGCAAATTAGCGAGATGTGGTCTAAATTAAATTACTATAAGGTGGGTGCACAACTGGGAGGGTGTATCTAATGGGGTCCCACAGGGGCCAGTCCTGGGTCCAGTTCTAGTCAATAGTTTCATTAACAACTTGGATAATGGATTGGAGAGTACATTTATATAACTTGTGGATGACATGAAGGTGGGGAGGGGTTGCAAGCACTTCGGAGGACAGGATTAGAATTCAAAATGACCTTGGCAAATTGGAGAATTGGTCTGAATTCCACAAGATTAAATTCAATAAAGACAAGGGAAAAGTACTTCACTTAAGAAGGAAAAATCAAATGCACATGTAAAAAATGGGGAATAACTGGCTGGCAGTAGTGCTGCTGAAAAAGATCTGGGTGGGGGTTATAGTGGATCACAAATTGAATACGAGTCAACAGTGTGAAGCAGTTGTGAAAAAGGTTAATACCATTCTGGGGTGTATTAACAGGAATGTTGTATGTAAGATACAAGAGTCCCATTGTACTCAATGTTGGTGACTCCTCAGCTGGAATACTGTATCCAGTTCTGGGTGTTACATTTAGGAAAGATATGGACAAACTGGAGAGAGTCCAGAGGAGAGCAACCAAAATGATAAAAGGGTTAGAAAACGTGACCTGTGAGGAAAGGTTTAAAAAAAATTGGGCATGTTTTAGTGTTGAGAGAAGACGACTGAGGGGGAACCTGATAACAGTCTTCAAGTACATTAAGGGCTGTTATAAAGAGGACGGGGATCAATTGTTCTCCATGTCCACTAAACCCATTACTTATTGTCCTACCTTCAATCTGCAGCGAGGGAGATGTAGGTCAGATATTAGGAAAAGCTGGCTAACTTTAAGGGTAGTTAAGCTCTGGAATAGGCTTTCACAGGAGGTTGTGGAATCCTCCTCATTGGAGGGTTTTAAGGACAGGTTGGACAAACACCTGTCAGGGATGGTCTAGGTTTACTTG